TCCCAGCATTTATTATTACTTCATTTGTAAAATATACAGTCTAGCAGGTGGACAATTCATCAGAACTAATGCAACGGTGGCCATTAAGTGACTTTGGAATTTCTAAAATAGATGCCTAAGCACACTGAAAACGCTACATCAGAACTCAAAAGGTAGAGCTCCCATCGTGCCTGTCCATTCACTTGAGGTTGGAAGGAACAAAGGCCTCCCAGAGCCAACTGCTTCTTGAGGACAAATTTGCCAGAATGGCTCACATTTCCCCTGGAGAGCCACTGATGGAATTTCAGCTTTGACCTTCTGGAGAATCTGTATTAAATTGCAAATTCGTTACCTAGGAATGTAATTGTTAACCCATTAATACCTATTTGTTAGCACTTAACTAGCCTTTAAAAAATTATATATATATATATATATATATATGATTTTTATAGAGAGGAAGAGAGAAGGATAGAGAGTTAGAAACATCCATCAACTGCCTCCTGCACACCCCCTACTGGGGATGTGCTCACAACTAAGGAACATGCCCTTGACCTAAATCCAACTTGGAACCCTTCAGTCTGCAGCCCAATGCTCTATCCACTGAGCCAAACCAGTTAGAGCTCAAACTAGCCTTTTCTTTTCAAATTAGCTAGAGCTGAGAGTAGGACTTGAATAGAAGCAAATCTAAGCCTGATGGACTCAGGGTGAGTTTTATAGGTCCTTGAGTTCTGGGGACACATCCCCACCACTGTAAGCATCAACATTTGCAAGAGTGCCTGAGTGCAGGTGTGTGCACAAATACGCACAAGCCCAGATGAAATTTAATAGTCTGGACTGTGCGCCGAATTGCCCGAAAGAAATATAGTGTACCCCACGCTGATAATTTTAAGTGTTTTAGTAGCCATATTAAAAAATGTAAAATGAAAAAGGTAATATTACATGTCATGGTATTTTATTTAACTCACTATAGTATCCAAATACAAACTAAATTTGTCTAAAAACAGACTATAAAGTCAGTCAAGTACTATCAATCTTTCTGTATTTCTTTCAAAAGGTGAAAAGTGACCCTAACATCTATATAAGGTATGTTTCAAGAGTAAGTTTAACTAGTTCCTTAAGTTGGGCCTTACACCTCATGTAAATAAGTCATCTATGCACCAAGAAATCCTGAAGGTACTATATAAACTTAGGAATAATTTTTTTTTATTTTTAACCAAAAGTAATTATGTTTAAGTAGTATTCCATAAAGAAACTTCTACAGAAGACCATCCGAAAATACAGGGTGGGGCAAAATTAGGTTTAAAATGGTTCATATGAAAAATAATGCAATAATTAAGAAATAATAATACAAGAATGACTTTGTTTCGAATACGCACAACTATAAATTTATTTTTGTCCCACACTGCACAACTACCTGAGGGTATAAATTTATTTTTGTCCCACACTGCACAACTACCTGAGGGTAGTGGGTGAACTAATGAGAGAAAGGAATTCTTCTTTCTCCTCATCTTCATTTATTTAATAAGTTTTTCTTTTATTTAAAGTCAGCAGAAAGAACTAATTAAGGCAAAACAAAAGAAAATAGATTCAAAGTTTGCCTTGATCATGTGAACATATCTTCCCATTGTGGCATATTTGAAAGGCCAAGTACAACCATCCATTATACTGCACCCCATTAGTGAACTTTCCCCGGCAAAGGGGCAGAATGATGGTGTCTCTTGGGTATGCACTTTGGCTCACTATAAGCTTGCTTGCCAAACCATTATCATTCAAAAATTTGGTATAACTTTCACACCCACCAGATGGAAAATCATAGTACGTGTCAATGCTTGCTTGCTTTACCAGATATTTTTCACTGGGCTTTTCTTTACAATGAAAGATGTACTAAAATTTTGAGGATGCGAAGAAGTGGTGAATAAATATGGGATGTACTTACACATTTGTGCACCAAATGCTGAAGGGCTGTGAACCAGCCACTCAGAGAAAAAAAAAAAAAAAGTACTGAGCCATTAGTTTAGTAGGTCATTTTGAACGTAGACAGCAAAATGTCTGTGTGCATGAAAAACTACTACTATATTTTCAGAGATCCTTTCTAAGAATCCTGAAATATTAATAACATGGTCTTAATGTAGTTGAAGACAAAAGCATGTGGCAAGGGTTGCTGAGAATAGCACAATGACAATTTGGTATTTTCAGCTTGTGCTCGTAAAAGCAAGAGGAAATGAAAATAAAAATAGTCAGTGTGTTTAAAGAACAGCAGCCTTCAATTTTACAAAGAGGAATAAAAACATATTCTCCTATTGAGTTCACATATGCATATTGTTGATAATACACTACTAGTAATACTAGCTTCAAGGAAATGTAGAAAAAATATATAAAAATCCAAACTAGTTTTTTTTTTTCTTAAATTAGTATGTCCATAGGACTAATTTTTAAACTTTAATATATATATATATATATATATATATATATATATATATATATATATATATTTTTTTTTTTTTAAATTGATTTTTTACAGGGTGGAAGAGAAAGGGATAGAGAATTAGAAACACCAACAAGAGAGAATCATCAATCAGTTGCCTCTTGCACACCCCCTACTGGGGGTGTGCCTGCAACCAAGGTACATGCCCTTGACCTGAATCGAACCTGGGACTTTTCAGTCTGCAGGCCAACGCTCTACCACTGAGCCAAACCAGTTTCAGCCAATTCTCCACTCTGATTTTTGTGAGCTATGGATTTCATTTTTTGATTGGATGTAATCTTACTAGAATGGCAGTTGAAGAATTAGTGATGCTCCCCATCTCTCTTTTTTTCTTACAAGCTTTTGAATGAGCCATGTGTCCCATTGCAATGAATGGGTCACAGGCCAATTTTCATTGTCAATCTTTTGCTGCCATTGTGAATTTTCAGATTTTGATGCCTGGTGAAATGGGGATGCACAAGGATTAGTCAGGAACAGGGAGAGTTTTCCTCCAACATCCAGATGTGAAATAATAAAAGCAATGCATGCCTTCTTGGCCATCCTCACAACCCATGACAGGTTGCCTTTGTTGGCTGTGGCTGCATGAGTAACAGACAGGACCCAGTGGGTTTGTCCCGAGTTCAGGGACTTGTGGTGTTTTATGTGGGACAGACAAGCCAGTGCTTCTTTCTGCCAAACCTGGAGTTTCTGATTTGAATCCAAACCCTAGGGCCATCATAATCATGACCAAAAGCACCTTGCATCTTGAACCCTATCTAATTATGTGGACTGTATAAACTGGAGACACATAAATCTCAGTCACTGGAGCAACTTGTTTTTCTAAGATGCTCCGGTCCAGTGAGAGATGAAAGCAAATAAGGGAGAGATTGATCTCTGAGCGCTTTTATGGTCGGTGCGCCACACGTCATAAACTTCGGGCTCGTTAAAGGAAATTCCATAAACAACTTTAGTTAATAGCGACGAAGGAACTCTGTGCCTTTCTAGAGCTTCTGCTAAACTCCCTTTCCACTTGTGATTACAAGAGCACGATTAAGTAAATGCCAACAGGATGTGCAAGAGTGAGGAACAGACTTCAACTGGAAGCCACATGGGTGCTTGATGGATGAGTAATGAGACAAGGGAATGAGGCCATCTCTGCTCAGAGAACCCAGCAGTTTTGTGGACCTCTTTGTCTCTACTCATTTGAATAAAATCTGTTAGCTTGCTGGCATAGTTGGTCTCCTTTGGTGGGTCAGGCTGATGGAAACTTACCTGATGGGTTCTTCTCCCAACTGGTATTCTTGATAGAATAGAATCATCCTAAGAAGGTAATAAATGGAAAGAATTGAGAGTGGATCACATTGGAAAGATTGTTGGTAACTCACTTTTTTTTTTTTTTTTTAACCTCTGGTCTTTGAAATAGCTTTCCTTATGTTTAATGGCCTTGTCACTGTGGGTTTTAATACTGATGGTGTTGGTCAATTTTTATTTAAGATTGAGACAGATTTGGGAGGTGATCGTGAAGGGCGTAGGGAGAAAAAAGGGGAGCATGGCTCTATTAATTATTTTTTATTGTGAGGTTTCCCAGAATTAGTGGGTTTTTCCACATTAGTGAAAGCAGTCTTCGGTGTCAGTGTGATGATGTTTGTAAAGATGAAGTCATGGAAAGTGTGTCAGGTGCATAAGGAACTATATGGCCCATGTTCTCTGCACCAGCCCCTTAGTGGGGGGTGGGGAGAGAGGAGGAGTGAGTTTGTGGAGGGAGAGAGGGGAGTGATGAAAACCTGGAGAGGGTTTTATTAATTTGAAAATAAACACACAAACTATCTTCTGATCTTAAAAAAAAATTTTAACATGTTTTATTTCCAGAATCTATTATTGGGTAGTATCTAGAACTTTCCCCTCAAATTGTGACTCAAGTCTGAACAACTCTTCTTTGCTTTTGTGCTCAGTTGTTTTTGTGGGTCTTTTCCCTTTGGTCCTCTGTAGCTGTAATTAGGAAATAATCAGCAACCCATTTTTTTGTTGGCACTTGGCTACACTTCCAACTGGTTGGTTCAAGATCATGCTCTCAGATTTCATAGCATGTGGCAAAGAGTGCAGGCTTTGGGGGCAGGGCATTTGGGGTCAAAGCTGGCCCCTGACATTTACCAGATGCATGGTCAGGCACTGGCAATTTACTGCTCAAAGCTGGTATTCCTCATTTTGAAGGTAAGGCTAATAAGAGTACCTATGGAAAAGAGGCGTTGTGGGATTGAATGTGATGCATAATAGCAGGGTCTCAGCACACAGGAGACACTGGGGAAACTTTAGCTGTGATTTTATTGATATTACCAGTTTTAAGAAAAATTTTTTCCATGGGGCTCCTCTGCCCTCTGACCAGAAATGTTAATGTCCCTTAAAGAGTGACTGTTTTTGCACGTTTTTGGTTGCTTTAGTATCTCCAGTCACTAGTGATTAACAAAAATGTCTCCCTTCCTCAGAATCAAGGAGGTGTTGCTATGCTTTGCTATATTAGCAGCGGTTTATATTGATTTGTTTTTCTTCTTTCCTATAGCCTGCAAAATTGGATATTACAAAGCCCTCTCCACAGATGCCACCTGTGCCAAGTGCCCACCCCATAGCTACTCTGTCTGGGAAGGAGCCATATCCTGCACCTGTGATCGAGGCTTTTTCAGAGCCGACAGTGATGCCGCCTCAATGCCCTGCACTCGTAAGTTGTGTGATTGTCTCTCGTTTATGTAATAGCAACAGCTTTCATTCCCACCTAGCGGGGCATCTCCCAGGATAACAGTGCAGGGGGCAAATTACATCAAACAGGCTTCTTTCCTTAATCATAGCAGGGGAAATGATTATGAAAAGAAAGGATCTTTCTCTCTGTTCTGTTGCCTTCAAAATGCACAGCTGCCAACAGACGACTTTGCAGAGCAGAGATTGAGCATTCAGGGGTCGTCTGACAGCGTAATTAAAGCTGAGGTTGGAATTTATAAATGGCTTTACTGGCTCATGGAGGACTCAAGGAGAAGCTTGACAGTGGCAGGGAAGTGGGTATAGGGCAAGGCTCCGAGCATGGGATCCCCTGCGGACAACAGGTTTCAGTTCTGTGTGATACTGATGTCATAGCTTGCGTTGTCATTGCTCTTCGTCCCTCTTTCCTCATAGTTTTGTATTCATAGCAGTTAGGCTTGGGTCCTAACAAATGCTTGTTTAACGCTAGGCACTCGGTAAATGCTGGGCTAATGAATGGATGGGATTGGCACTTTGGTATGCCGGGGAGTAGAGAAACCTTTTCTCACACTTTTATATAGACCGTGTTCCCAGGTGTGGGCCTTCCCTCTGTGTACACTCTGGGCTTCTCAGACCCTGCCATGGCTGTGATCTTGACCAGAACAGGGAGTGGCGTGCCCAGGTATTCCACCCACATTTCCACTGCATGAGTTTGTCTGTGTGTGGAGGGACACACCTGGGGGCTGGCACACAGGCTTTCTCAGGTCTCGGCTTTGTTTCCAAGCCCTGCCAGTTAGTAGCCGAGTGACTGATTGTTTAGCCTCTTAAGTCTCACTCTCCTCATCTGTGGAATGGAGTCAATAGTAAATAGCACTTCCCTCCTGGTTGTTGGTACTGAACACTCTCATGTTGTTTACTATTATGTAAAATACATAAAATGATGCTACTCCATATAATTTAGCTTTTACTGCTATTATGAATTATTTTGTTTCTTAACTACTATAAATTCCATCTTGGCTGCCTGGAGCCAGCGTCATTCAAATAAAAGTACTTTCTCATCTCGGGAGGTGGGGGGTAGTAAGGCCAGCTGTTTGGCCATTGTCCAGCCCAGGCACTACCTTTAAAAGGTAGGGGAACAATTTCAGGTCTATCCCAAATTTGTACTAAAACTGCCACACTCTCGTGAGTTCCTGTTATAACCAGAGACAATACAACAATAGCAACAACAACCATTTATAATTATGCCCAGGTAATGTAGCAGGCACTTTCATTAAACCTTATCACAGGGCTGATATTATAATATATTTATAAGATAGGGATTATTTTCATTTCCTAGAGGAGGTAACTATCAGCTCAGATGTTAAGGAATATGTCCAAAACTCCACCCAGCCTGGCGGGAGGGCTGGATAACCACAAGACCCCCCCATTTACTGGGAGGCCCTCTTGCCAGCTACCTAAATTCCAGCTCTAACTTCTACAGGGAAGGAATACATGGGGGCCATTCTTAGGTGTAAGCCCACATGGGCAAAGATATCCTTGTTGTCTTCTTTTTCTGTTCCTTCCATAGACTAAGTGCTTTCTCTGGATGGGGCAAATACATTTGATATGCTTTAAGTCCAAACCTTTTTTTTTTTCTCCCAATCTAAATATTCTTATGCTCCATTGTGTGATTGATTTAATAGTGACTCTCTTCCTCTATCTACACCCACACCCCAATTGTGGGATTTTAGCGTGATAGCAAACTTAAAAAGAAATATTGTGGGCTGACAGTATTATCCTTAATTTGGATCAAGGAGTCCACTACCTGTCTTTCCTATAGATGGCTTCTGTAGGCTGATTATGTTATGAAACTCACAAAATTCATCTTGGATGGCAACGTGGATGGGCTCTTTAGTCAAAGTGTAAGTGTGGTAGGTGAGCCCTTGGAATTTTATGTTTCTGTAGGAATAGTTTTATCCTGAAGATGCAAATGAGAAAAAGCAAATATGGATTCTTAGCCTACGAGTGAACCAAAAAGTTTAAAAACTAAAATAGCTCCTGTATTTTTCAGAGATAGTTTTCAATAACATAAGAGAAGAAGACTGATGGATTTTGGTATCATTAATAAAATGCCTGTTAAATTACCAAAGCAACATGTGATCTTTTTCTTCTGATCCACTCTCTTGTAACTTCAACACTTCACTAACCCAAATGTGCAGGATTATTCTAATGCTTATTGCATCTCTCCAAGTCCAGTTAGGAAGAAACACAGTGCTGATCTTTACACCACCAACTTGTGGGTTTATTTCCTCTCTCCAATCCCCAGTTTACCCATCTGTAAAATGGGGTTTTTACTATCTACCTGTGGGGTGGTTTTAAACATTAAATGAGAAAATATTTGTACTGCTCTGGCACCTGGTATGGATCTAACAAATGTGGGTTCTCTTCTTTTATGGCAGCTGGTCACTTCCTCCCCCAAGCTTACTCCATAGCAGATTGCTGACAACTGCCCATGCCTCTGTGATGATTTTCTCACTGACTGCACAATTAAATGACCCAACAGCCCCACTGCACTCCAGAATTTCAGGAGTAGGACTCAGCATCAGTATTTTTAGAAGTTGTCCCATCATTCTACTATACAGACAAGACTGAAACCACTTCTCTCCAGAGTTGAATTTTTAAGTCCTTTAAAAAAAAAATTCAATGAACATTAACTAAATAAGACTCATAAGACCTCCTTTGATATAGGGATAATCTGGGAGGTCACCATATGTTGATAACAGGTATATTAGTTCAGCAGCAAAATTAGAATCTGTTTTCCTGATGAATGCAGTGGACCTGCACTGCCCAATGAATAGCCCCATAGTTGCACATGGCTATTTAAATTTAGAATCAATCACATTCAGATTAAAATTCAGTTTCTAATTTAAGTTTGCCACATTTCAAGAGCTCAGTAGATATATGTGGCCAGTGGCCACCATCCTGAGCAGCATGGCTGAGTCACTCTGAGTTATTTCAGTCATCTCAGAAAGTTCTGTGGGACAGTCAGTGCTGCAGCAGACATTTCAATAGAGAGGAGACAGTGGGGTTTTCTCAGAGAACCTCTTGTTCAAATAACCCACAGGATGAAGCCCTCCTCCCCTCCACCCTCAGCTTTATCAGATTCTCTTGACAAGATCTGGGGATGGAAAGGAGCCTAAACATCAGGGATCCTTTCAAACAGATTCCAGCCTCTAATGAGTCCTTACCAGTTGGTTAAGCCAGGTGACAAACCCAATTCCCTTGTGCTGACAGCCATGGCAATCAGGCACCTTCTTTGTTCCTTCTGCTGCCTTTAACCCCCCGCATTCTTATGCAGCCCTGCACTTACTGATCACTCACTGTGACGGCACACTAATGAAGAAATAAAACACACGGACTGAGACTCATTCTTTCAGCCACAGAGAGACTCTGCTCCACTGGCTCATAAAATCAAGTTTTTGTTCACTTGGAGCACGACTAGACCAGGTGAACACATGCGGCATTGGCTAATTTAGCGGGAGACGCCTAAGAAGTTCTGCATGCCATCTCCATTGCTAGAGAACATGAGAGAATTCAATGATAAAATAAACTTTATCTTGGGGGAGATTTCCCACGGAGCCTCTGGGTGGGTTAACATCAACGTCTGCCTGAGAGATCGACATTTCAATGGAGGAATCATCTTAATATTTTCAAGAAGATAATCAGCACCTGTTAGAACAATATTTTAAACGTTGATGTGCATGGAAAGCACTTAGTGATCAGCAGATGCCAGGCCTGACATTCTGCTTTTCTAACAAGTTCCCTGACGCTGCTGAGGCTGCTGTTCTGTGGACCCCTTTCCCATTCTAAGAGCTAGATCCTCCCTGATGGATAGCAGGAGACAAGGGAGGACCCTCTCTTCCATGCCTGTAAATTTTAGGGCTGCTCTCCAGCTCAGTGGTGACTCTCTGAAGATATTTCCAGGATTCTGAACATTCTTCCTTAATGGAAATCGAATACTTCATTTGTCTCCCACATGAAGAAAATCCATCTGGTGTGGAGTTGCATAATCCAGTACACTCACTGCGGAGCTTCTTTGTTTGTGTTTTCTTCTGAAGTCCCCACTAGGTTACTGCCAGAGAGTGTCAATGGGAATGGTTACATGTCCCAGGTGACCATTCCCATTGATACTCTCTGGCAGTAACCTAGTGGGAACTCCGCAAGAAAAAAGGTGATGGGGCTTTTGGTGACATTGCTAACAAGGCAGACACCCAGACCTTGATAGACACAAGGATGGCATTTAAGTTGATGAAGGGATTTTTATTTCATAAATTGTTTTTTAGGAGAAATTTCAGAGTGATTTTAATGAATGAAGTTAATGTTCTTTAACTCTGCAGATTACCAGCCCTTCCCCTTCAGATCTTGTTCACCTTCCCTTTCCTTTTCCCTGTCATCAGGAATGTTGTCTGGCGATCCCAGTGTTGGAGATGTCAGCTGCGTGCCTATGCAGGAGGATTGAGTGCCTTTTGTCACTTAGTCTCTTGTTCAGTGATTATAGCGAGAAAAAGGTCTTCCCGTCCCCTCCCACTCCCCCAGGAGGCTGAACCAATATTACACATAAAGTAACTTTCCAACCCTTTATTGTGTTTTAAAATGTACCTGGGGGGAAAAAATGCCTTGTAGAAGAAGTAAATTGGTTTTGTGTATCTAGAAAGAAATAGCTAATTTGTTATTTTGGCAACTTTACTTCTGAGCACCATTACCAGAGTGGCTTTGCGTATTTTTCAATTGGAAATCTGTTCTTGCGCTGCTGGGTACTCCTTATTTAACTTGTTTGATGAAACTTATTTGAGCCCTGTGATCGGGAGCACTCTGTAAATAAGAGATTATTATTTTAGATTGCCAACTTAAAGGGCCTTCACAAATCTGTCTCCAAGTAAACGGCCTTGAATAATTCAGTCAGCTGTGCCAAACAAACAAAGACTGGGTGATTGATACTTAGACGTA